TAATAACCAAGTTCTTTTTAAATTAATCGCATTGTCCGATACCTATAAAATAGAGATTTATATTACTGTAGTTATAAAATAATGTTTCTAAGCATAATCCGGTTCATATAGAATTACTTGCTTTCAATGGAATCAAATTTAAAACTGTCTCCAGTCCGAATACTTTTATCGCAGCGCCAATAGCGTACTCTGCGTCATTTATCAAAGAAAAATTATAGAAATCACGTAACTCCACTAGACTTCTCAATATTTCTACTAATTGCGGACTTCTCGCTTTACCAGTTACCTGTAATAAAAGGGAACGTTGAATTGTACAACATTGACAAAAGGATAAGAAGCAGAAAATCGATATTACCTGAAACAGTAGGGCTGTTAAATCAAGAATATAACACCAAGCTTCCAAATATTGGTAGCCTAATGCTTTATGGATCATACAAGTTATCCGATTAATAATGTCCTTATATCTAAAAGTATGATATAAATGATGAGATATAAATTATAGATACGAAGAATAATAATTAAATCTAATCTTACGTTTCAATTGATTTTTTGGTTTCACACATTTTACCGACACAATCTTGTAATAAAATTTTCATCGTGTGCGAAGAACCAGACATAACTTCCGATTTGCCCGAAAGCCACAATTGACTACATGTGTTCAAAATTCTTGGTAAAAGAACTGCGCATAAATTTAATGAATTGCTATAAAGGAAAAATACATTCAGTAATTACTATCTCTTCAATAAAATTGGATATAAGGAGTTTAAATATAAAAGTTTGTTTACTGCGCTAAATTTAAATACGCTTCTTGCATTACAGTTAGCCACGCTAAGGTTGGTTGTGTATCAGTTGCTGGAGGTTGATAATCATATAAGGCAGTAATGATTTGCCCATTTCTTTGTACTGGTAGAATAGCTTCTGATGGTCGAGAAACGAACAAACCATGAAAGGTTTGTAGACAACATGAAGTTACTAACACATTTTTCATAGTCATAAGCTTCAATAAAGATTCACTGATAGTCTGGAAAACAAAAGTTCGTAATTGTATAATATAAATATATGTATTTCCTTAACAAATGTTGACAAATACCTTCACATGAATCTTTGGTAAATGATGGAAAATGTCTTTTAGTAGTGCAAGGACATGAAGAACATTTGTAATACCATCGGACTCGGAGTCAAGTTGACCAATACAGAATTTTGCAATGTATGGAGTAGCTGGATGATATTGCGGTGGGTTTTCACCTTTCATGAT